CCAATCGTTTCAGAACTGGAACAAAAAACTGAGGCTACACTTGATACTAGAAATGAAGAGGTGGTATCATCTTACGTTGAAGTCAGAAGAAGTATTGAGATGTCTCAGTCAAAAGCTTGGATATACAAGTACAACAATGAGAGACAAGAGAGAGACATGAATGAGACACAACAACATGCTTTCAAGATTAAGTGTGGACAAAGCAGATATTGCAGGGAGGTACAAAAGCTGGAGCTTACTTCAATGGCTGGTAATCATGTTTATATTAATCGTTGCTTTACTGGGTTTGGTGTCAATGAAGTATTTCATCTACAACGACCACCAGAGATGTTAGCAGAGAAAGATCATCAGAGATGTTATGATGGTTTCAGCACCAAGTTCTTATCATCCTTGAGGACAAGGATGTTCTCAACAAGGGAGTATTGTAACAGGATAAACCGGTTACCTTTTTGGGCTAACTCATTAATCTTTGGTTTAGTTTTATGGTTTAGTTATTTGGTTTAATAAACACTATATGTAATCATTTTCTCATTATGAGAGAATCAATCAAAAACATAAACTTTATCTTCTTCCTTAAACCCTAACTCTCTGTTCATCATCTTCATCATCCACCATTAAGAATATTTGCTCTTCGGGATGATCCTTCTTCCTTCGTGGTCGTCCTCTAGACTTTGATTTACCGGTTCTCGAGCTCGCGGTGAGCTTCTGGATCGGATCTATCGGTTACACTCAGACTTACTGTCTCATTGGTATCAGAGCCTTACGGTTCTCGGATCGAAGCTATGTATCAACGAGTTAACGGGATGACCTCTTTCTTACCATCAAAACAACAAGCCCAAGCTCTGTTACTCAAGATGGAGTTGGAACGGAAACAGTCGGAGGAGGATAAATGATAAGCACGAGCTTATCTCTGTAACAGAAAGGGATTAGATAAGGATAAGAAGGAGAACTAGAGAGAAAGAAGATAATGTTTGATATTAATTCTTGGATAAACATATCATTAGGGACACTCCCCCTTGAATTACACATAAAACGACATAGTATTATATATGGTATAAAGTCGTCAAACCCTCCAATACAACTTGAGTCTTTCTTCTTCATTTCCACTTGTTTCTTCAACGGTCACTTTTGTTCCTCTTAGACCTAGCTCTCTTCTGTGTGAAAGCTAAAGGAACTGCTAGCTTATCAATACCCTCCCTCAGAAGACACAGCTTGTCCTCAAGCTGGAAGTGAGGATATTGGTCCGCCAAACGCTTCACCGACTCCCACGAACACTCAAACTCAGGAAGACCTTTCCACTTCACCAACACTTCAGGATTCTGTCCCTTCTGAGACTTCCTGATATCCAACAACTCTTCCGGTTTGGTGTTCCACTCCAGGGAGGACGAAAGGATTAAAGGGAGCTCCTGAATTTTGTGATGAGGTTCCACTGCCTTATTGAGCTGGGACACATGGAACACCGGGTGGATCAAACTCGAAGCCGGAAGGACTAACTTGTATGCGACTTTGCCCACTCTCTTCTCAATCTGGTAAGGACCAAAGTAACGCGGAGAGAGCTTCTCTACCCAACGCATGGCCACAGTGATCTGCCTGTAGGGTCTCAGTTTCAGATACACCCAGTCACCAACCTCAAACTCCACATCACGACGCTTCTTATTGGCTGAAGACTGCATCCTAGCTTGCGCACTCAACAAGTTGTGTTTCAGATCCTGTAATAGTCCATCTCTGTTATGTAACAGTAGGAATGTCACCGAAGCGTAGCAGCCTAGGAGGGTCTCTCCCATACAAAGCTCGGAAAGGGGTGGTGTTGGTCGAAGAATGGTGCGAGGTGTTGTACCAATACTCCGCCCACGGCAACCACTGACTCCAAGACGAGGGTCTCCTTCTTGCAAAACAGCGCAAGTAAGCCTCCAGACACCTATTAACAACCTCTGTTGGGCCATCGGATTGCGGATGGTAAGCTGTACTCTTGTGCAGTGCAGTGCCTTGGCTACTGAACAACTCAGACCAGAACTTACTGAGGAAGACCTTGTCCCTGTCAGATACCATGGTCTCTGGAAAACCATGAAGTTTCACCACCTCTTTCACAAATACTTCAGCAACACTCTTTGCGGAGAAGGGATGCTTGATAGGGATGAAGTGAGCATATTTAGTTAACCTGTCTACCACCACTAGAATGACATCAAAGTTTCGAGAAAGTGGTAATCCCTTCACAAAATCAAGGCTGATATCTGACCAGACTTGAGACGGAATGGGCAACGGAGAAAGAAGCCCTGCAGGTGACAGCGTCGAGTATTTGTTCTGCTGGCAAATCTCACACCCCTTGATAAACTCTGTGATATCCCCCCTCATTCCTTTCCAAAACACCTCCCTTGCCATCCTTTTGAACGTCTTTAACACGCTCTCATGACCCCCAATGGCACTATCATTTGAAAATTTTCATAGTGTAGGTATATTTGGTGTATAAATTTGACGTATTTTGTGGGCATGATTTGGTCGTTTCCCGGTGTCATGAATATTCATTCCTAAGTCCATTTTCATGAACATTCCTATGCTATTGTGTTGTTTTACACTCTAACCCCTAACAAATCTCAAGAAGGTCGTTTATAACCTTCGTCCTTGAATACAATCTTTTGACATACTAAAGTAAATAACACATGAGTATGACTATTTGTTTGTACTTTCTTATCACGTGTTGATGTGTTTTTGGCTGTTTTGTTTCATATTCAGCCCCTTCCAAATCTCAAGAAGCTTAATTCAACAGCGTCTTATAATTTGTAGGAGCTCTCGGATCTTGCAAACGCTATAAATCTCGAGATTTTGAATGTGACTTATTGCAAGAGTTTGGTAAATAGTCATCCGTCTGTTGGAGATCTTCATAAACTAGATTGGGAACCTGAAATCCACCTACTGTCAAATAATCGTAAATAAGGAAACTTCGGGAAAACCCTAAGTTTCCAGAGGAACCGGCTATCTGCAGAACCGCACAACGAAGATTAAGATAACGATAAACTTAGAATTATTAAAAGAATAAACAAAAATCGAGAGAAAAGAGGTTCTTATTCCGAATCTGCGTAGAACTGCTACAAAAAGAGTGGCCGAAAAGCTTAAGAACGAAAAACCCTAGTTGAGACGCAGCTCGCTAACAGAAAACGGAAATATTCCTAAATGCTAGTTTTGGTGGTGAGAGCTCTGAAAATCGTCTCCCTTTCTTCTGCCCTAGACCTCTTATTTATATACTAATCGGCTTGGCCGTTCGGTCTTTCCATTTCGCCCAGATTTGACTATATCGGAAATTTTCCATTTTTCTCGATCCTTCCTTTTCTTCCGCGGAAATCTTCTATTTTTCTTCAAACCTTCCTTTTATTTTCAAACTTGACATTTATTTTCCTTCTGCGAGTAAACCGTCAAAACATTATCGTATCTTCGGGTTAGATTCCGTTAAGATCGCGAGATGGGTTTTTATCGCGTTTTAGGACCTTCCAGGCCGTTCTGCGATAAATCCGTTTTCCGACTTTGTACGGGATCGTTTCCTGATCTGATGCCGTTTTTAGTAAATTCCTCGAGCTAATCGTAAGGTTTTATGATTTACTCGACGTTTTTATTAAAAACGCGTTTTTTACGATTTACTCGACGTTTTTATTAAAAACGCGTTTTTTAATGATTTCAACGAGAAATCTCGAATAAATCGTATAGTTTAGGCAATGTTTGGTGTTTCGTTTAACCGTTGCCGTTTTATACGATTTTCTCGAGTTCTTTGTCGAGAAAGCGAAGTTTTACGGTTTTTATCGTAAAACTCGAACGATAGGTCGGATCGAGATGGAATGGGAGACGTTTCGGCCGTGGTTCAGAACGTGACCGTGTCGAAAGACTTAAGTTTCAAATCGGGGATGCGGGAGATCAAGGCTCGGGACGTCCAGGAAGTCTCTAGTTCGTCCAACGGCGAACTAGTCGGGACGGGACTAGTTCGCCCGTGGGCGAACTAGTCGAGACGGGACTAGTTCGCCCACCGGCGATCTAAGCCAGGCCGGCTTAGTTCGCCGGTGGGCGAACTAGTCAAGTGGGACTAGTTCGCCCACCGGCGAACTAAGCCAGCTTGGCTTAGTTCGCTGGTGGGCGAACTAGTCGAGATGGACTAGTTCGCCCACCGGCGAACTAAGCCAAGCTGGATTAGTTCGCCGGTGGGCGAACTAGTTGCGACTAGTTCGCGTTTTACGGCTGTTTTGGTTTTTTGCGGTTTCGTAAAATGATTCTCGAGTTTTATAAAACGGCTTCTTGAGTTTTATAAAACGATCTTCGAGTTTTATAAACAGCTTCTCGAGTTTTATAAAACGATCTTCGAGTTTTATAAAACGGCTTCTCGAGTTTTATAAAAAGGTCTTCGAGTTTTATAAAACGGCTTCTCGAGTTTTATAAAACGATCTTCGAGTTTTATAAAATGGCTTCTCGAGTTTTATAAAACGATCTTCGAGTTTTATAAAACGGTTTGTCGAGTTTTATAAAACGATCTTCGAGTTTTATAAAACGGCTTGTCGAGTTTTATAAAACGATCTTCGAGTTTTATAAAACGGCTTCTCGAGTTTTATAAAACGATCTTCGAGTTTTATAAAACGGTTTCTCGAGTTTTATAAAACGATCTTCGAGTTATATAAAACGGCTTCTCGAGTTTTATAAAACGATCTTTGAGTTTTATAAAACGGCTTCTCGAGTTTTATAAAACGATCTTCGAGTTTTATAAAACGGCTTCTCGAGTTTTATAAAACGATCTTCGAGTTTTATAAAACGATCTGCGACTTTCATAAAACGTCTTCTTGTCTTATAAAACGATCTTTGGGTTTTGATAAAACTATTTCTTTTATGTTTTTGCGGGGAATTTTGTCTATTGATTCTGTCGTACTGATTTTGACCCCAACACTAGAGAGGTTAAAGATGAATTATTGGAGTAAGCTACAAGTTATCCTGCTCTCTTCAACTTGGCATCTCTTGAATCAGTCACGATAATGGGATGCGACCAATTGAGGAAACTTCCAGATATTTCTGGGACCATCACAGAGCTCGGAATCACAGACACATTGTTAGATGAATTTAATGAATCAATTAGACACTGGTCTTGTCTTCAGTTGCTCTATATATCTGGCAGTGTCACTCCATATCAAAGAAGCTTTCTAGCATTAATACTAGATGGAAGTGGTGCAGATTTTGAGAGAATTCCAGATTGCATCAAAGATCTTTATGGTTTAGAAGATCTTATTATATATGGTTGTCCAAAACTTGCATCACTGCCAGAGCTTCCTAGGTCGCTCACAGGACTAATGGTAAGAAAATGTGAATCACTGGAGACACTAGTACCTTTCCCTTTTGACTCTCAGATTGAGTATCTCTTTTTCCCCGACTGCTTCAAATTGGGTCGAGAAGCAAAGAGAGTAATTACCCAGAGATCATGGCAGGCATGCCCACCTGGAAGAAGTATACCTTCAGAGTTCAGTGACAAGGCTATAGGAAATTTCTTGGCCATATGTTCAAATGCATACCGAGTTAAGATTTGTCTCGTGCTTTCCCCTAACCAAGAGATGAAAGAACTTAATGGTAGAAAATTAATGTGGCGCATAAGCATAAATGGTTGCCTTAAGGAGAATTGCATATTTCTTCTTCCCTTCACAATCCAATCAGAACATCTGTCTATATTTCACTCTGAAATTCTTCGGGAAGACCGACAGCTTGAACAATACAGCGAAATATTGTTTGAATTTAGCGCCTCATCCAAGGACATCAAAATTATTGAATGTGGTGTCCAGATCTTGAAAAACAAAACCAATTCAAAACAACTGTTGGAAGACGAAGATAGAAGTCTCTCTGAGAAGAGCTTTGAGAAAGATGCCTCAGGAGTAGAGATCATTGAGGATTCGCGAGGGAGCCTTGAGTATGATGCATCATGAGCTGTTCATCTGAAGGCAAGATAATGACCTTGCCATTGTTGCCAAAATGATCTTGTTTAGCTGTTGAGCTTTTCATCTGGTCTTTTGAATAGCTTTTTACATAAAGAGTTCACATTTACAAAGTTTAGAAATCTGTGCATGTATAGGAGGACATGGATTGTTTACCTTGACTAAGTTTTTTTGAACGTTTTATGTAATACATAAATGTCTCAAATGAATGATCATATGTTGTACATGAGTCACATGACTTATATCCTAAATCTCAAATCCTACACGTTCCACTTCATGGCATTTTTTTCCGGAGCAACTTCAATTCATGGCTCCTCACAATTCCAAGGCTCATCAAGAAGGTGCATAATCACCTCTGTATCCATGCTTCTTGCTGTTTTCTATGCATTTGTTGTTGCACCATGTTTGGGTAGCAGCTCACTGAGTGTGGCTTCTGATTTCCGTGGTGTCATCTCACCTATTAGCACTAGGAGTTCACTCTTAAGTTGCTTGTATGCTATGTTTGCCTATATCTATGTTTATGTTAGCTGCTTTGCCTTTGATGCAACAGTTTCTTTAGCTTGTTTGGCTGTGTTATTGTACTTGTTGAAGAATTACTCCAGTGATGGAGTCTAAGTTTTATGGAAGTTGGTTTGAACAAAAAAGAGGAAGAGCAATTCGAACATGAATCTCTTACGATAGAATTCTTGATCTAAATATTAGTATATGTATATATAATAATTATAAGTATCTCAAAATTATGAAACAACATATCACAAATAAAATATTATGCATTGAGTATAAAATAATTTTGAAATACCAAACCTATTGACTTATATTATTATTTTTTGTTAGATATTCCAGTAAATATGTTTTAAGAATCAGTAAAAATACAAAGGGATGATTGGGGAGAGCTGTGAGTAGTGATGTACACAGCTTTATTTCTATATACAGCAGTAAAATTAAGGAAAAAATCTTGAAAATCGGTAAGAAGTATCAACAGAAATAGAGATAATATAAACTCTAGAAACTCTAGTACTCTCACTAAATCCTACATAAATCAACACTCGCAATAGAACAATAGAGAGAGCTAGACATGCCCAAACGTCTGAAATCCAAAATGTGAACATAATCCAAAAAATATGAATCTGTATTGTGAAGAAGTGTGTCATCTGATCTGTCCATAGAGCTTAAGTATCATGGAGACTCTTATTCAAAGAGAAGGTTTACTCAGGCCTAAAACTGATCATGTGGAAGTCACGTGAGGTGGACTCTTTGGCTGAATACAAGTAAGGTCAAAAAGGTCATTATCTTGAGCTGGGAATTAAGTCATCGTCATCATCATCTACGACGGAGAGTCCGTTACAGAGACAGAATTAGAGAGCTCGAGAGATGAGATGAGAGAGAGATTGAGCTGGTGAGCTAGAGAGAGTTGCGATTCTTGGTGTATCTAGTCTCATAGTCTTGTTCTTCTTCCTCAACCTTGTAACTCGGATTAAGTGTAATTGAGAGAGGAAAAAGAGGAGTGAAACCTCCGGTGATGTACTCTGTAATCACATTGATTATAGTGGATTGAGAGACCTGGTTCTCTCCCCGGTGATGTATAGTGGCTTCTCCACATTGGAAAAGTGCGGTGAACACGGGGATAAATCCTCAACATGTATCCTATCTGAAATACCAAAACACCCAAATGGATTCTATAGGATGTTTGGATGCTACCAATTGAAGAAACTTCCATCTATTCAGGAAACATTGCAACTCTCATAATCTCATACACAATCTTACATGAGTTGCCTAAATCAGTTAGGCATTTCTGCCGCCTTGAGACTCTATATATATATAGTATTTCTATTAGATCACCACCTAATTAACTTGGCACTGCCAAACTCTGAAAAACTGTTGCAAGAGTGGAGCAGCGCAGATATTGAGAGAGTTCCACTTTGCATCAAATATCTTCATTGGTTAGAAGAACTTTATAAAGGTGGCTGTCAAAAACTTGCATCACTTCCAGAGCTTCCTCGCACGCTCACAACACTTACAGTGGATAAATCTGACAAATCAGTTTTTTTTTGTGTGCAAAGCATTGTGGTAACGACACTTCATCATTGCACTATTAAAATGTTTATCAATTAATATATAGGAGATGATATTTTATGTAATAAACACTTCAACTAAATGTTAGTTTTAATGGTATTCTACTTTGATTAGATGATAGGCAATGTGTTTTATGTTGATTGGATAATTTATTAACAGGTAGTTCACTGGACGGTGTTTAGTTTTGAGAATGATCTAACTCAAGTGTAGTTTTGAAAATGTATATGCCAAAGGGTGTCTTTATCAAAACTACTCATCTTATTTTCGCATTCGAGTTATCAGTAATTGCGACCACAAAACCTTTTTCGGTCATATTGGTTTAAAAAAGAATGGGAAAATAGAAATTTTACGAAATGTCATTTTTACTCTTGAAAGATACAATGCAAAGGTCAACATTGCTAAATCATCAATCACTTTAAACAAGAAAACTACACAAGATATAGATAATTCGGTAAAAGAGATCATGGGAATTGCCAAAGAAAGAGGTGTAGGTAAATATGGACCTACCAGAACATTTTGGAAGAAGAAAAAAGATCTTTTTACCTCTATCGCCGACAAAATCAGAAAATGTGCTGCTAGCTGGTCCACCAGGTATTTATAAAGAGTGGGCAAGCAACTGTGCTGCACTCAGTGCTGACTTCCATGCCCACGTACACGATGTCTTGTTTCCATCTTCCAAATCAATTTATGCAAAAGAATACAGTCGGCTCTCACTAGATTTTGGTGGGATGGCTCTGATGGAAAGAAAAAGATGTGATGGATGGCTTGGGATAAGCTAGCAAAACCTAATACATAAGGAGATCTAGGGCTTAGAGATATTCACTCTTCAACAAGCCCTTCTGGCTAAACTAGCATGGCGAATTACAACAGTCCCTGATTGCCTTCTAGCTAGAGTATTAAAAGGTAAATATTGTCATAGAAAATATTTATTAGACGTCTCATTACCTTCACTATGTTCTCACGGATGGTGTGGAATATTGTATGAATGTGATCTCTTACAAACAAACATGGGCAAATTAAGCAATTGGAAATGGTTTGACAAAAAAAAGTATGGAAAGATTCATGGATTTCACTGGACTCAAATTTGAAGCCCTTCGGACCTCTTCCAGAGGCAGCCTTAGACCTAAGGGTCTCAGACCTACTCAAGAGTGATTTAAAATGGAATTGGAAAACAATTTCAGAAGTACTACCAGTGCTAAGCTCACAGATACTATATCTGAGGCCTATAGTCAAAAAGGAACATAAGATATCTTTGTGTGGCAACCCATCAAGTCTTGCATCTACACTACAAAATCAGGGTACAACTATGTAGCTTCCTCTCGCTGCTAAATGCCTGACCCGACACCTCAAGGATACTTGCAACTGTGGATCAAAGACATTTGGTCAGTTTCTTTCTCCCCAAAACTCAAAGAATTCTGATTCTCTGTAATAAAAAGAGCCTTACCTCTAGGGGAGAACCTCCAGCTGAGAGGAATTATAACTGATCCATCTCTTGTTCAAGTGTCAGTTTTCTCAACAGGTATGGAAACTTATTCCCCTTCTACACTCAGTTCACGTAGCTGGCGGCGAGAGTTTCAAGACTGCAATGGTTAGAACAACCTATTGTGTCGCTCGACTTTAATGGCTGAAGCTCTAGCAATACGATCCACGTCTCTTGGCAGCAGCAGATCTCGAAATAACCAACCTCAAGGCATGTTCCGATTGTCAAACGCTCATCAGAGCAATCTTTTCCAACCACCAAATCAAGGAAATATTTGGAATCATAGCTGATATCATGCAGATCTCCTTGGTGTTTGATTCTATCTCTCGATCCTGGAAACCCCAAGAGCGATGCTCTAGCAAAATGGGCCTTGCAGTCTGTTCTTTCTGTAATATACTCTGGTTTGGGTCAAGTTTAGGCCCTAAACTTAAATCATTGGTTGCACACAAAAATAATACAATGCAAAAGCTTTTTTTGGAGAAAATACCATGCAAAGGCTAAAAATCTTCATCCCTCCTTCCTTCTAAAGTGTACAAAGGCTGAGTACTCGATAGTAATCACAATTTTATATTCCATAATATTTTTACAGAAATTATAGGTAATAAACATAAGAAACAAGTATCAAGAATTTAACCTTATGAAAGTGATAGATAGGGTATTGAGTGTATAATATGTATTCTTTCCATTTTTGACCTTTAAAATCCACATGCACCATTCTGTTTTTGATTTTCTTCTTCGTCTTTTTTTTCTTCTATTACCCAGTTATTTTCTTTGTCCATCTCAAGCTTCATCTCATGTTTTCTCATTTCCTTATGTCGTCTGTTTTTCTTCTCCACCAACATTATTGATTACAAAATTCATTCTTCCATTAATGATAGATATAAAAAATTTGCCGTTATCAGATACATTGTTTTCTCCGTTATTTTCTCCATCATTGTTGCTTGTTAGTAAAATTGATCGAAGAAAGATGAACTTTTTAAAAAATGTTCTATTCTATATAGACATATAGAATAGAAATGTAACATTATGAATAGTTTTGTTGCACCATTAACATTGCTACTACCACCAAAACCAGTTGTTTAGCCACCAGTTGTTTAGCCACCGCTACCATTAACATTGCTATCACCACCAAAACCATTATGAATAATATTGTTGCTATCCCACCATTAACATTGCTCACTTCCTCTCACCGTCTCTTCTTCCATATCGCGCAGTGGTTTCTTCTTCTTGTCCACCAATCCTAGGGAAACCTCATCCAACTCCTATGCAAATTGTATCTCCTTCTCCGCATCGTGATTCTTACTTCATTATTCTAGCAGCACCACCTCTAGTCATTCCATGACAAAGTACTATTTGGTTTTTTTATTATATTTGTCGAACATAAAAAAATGTGATTTTAGAATAGATAATGCAAGATTGTATTATGTTTTGGTTCATA